TTATATATAATAATGACATTTTAAAAAAGAAATGTGTTGCAGTATGAAAAGTCAGAGAATCTCCTAAGCCACTTTATAGCAGTACATTTTTTTATAAATAGGCAGGATAGATAAGTTCATGGAAAAACAACTTAAATCTCCTAAAAATGTAAAGCTCCAGAGCTAGATGGTTTCTCACCAATGAATTCTTTCCAAATAAGACCAGCCTATCACTCACATATTCAAGGATCAAAAATAGAGGCAAAAAAATCTTTGAATATATTTAATAATATTAGCATAACCCTTATAATAAAACTATGAGCACTGCAAGATAAATTAAGGCCCCAAACTGTCTCATTAATAAAGACACAAGCACACATACACAGACTCATACAGCCCTTAAAATATTTTAGGATGCTCATTTCAGAAACCAAAACATTGTAGGGAAATGAAGTTTCCATGAAATTTTGTATTGATATTTGAAAATCATTGACTGAAGTTTAATAGTTTATAAATGAAAACTGAGGTATTAGGATCACAGCGGTAAAGTAAAAACATTTGATGAATGCCATCATCCAATCATAAGAAAAACTACTAGCAGATTATGAAAGACAAACAAGTATCTCATTTTGATGTCTCGCGTTTTCTGAAGGTTTGTGAGATGAGAATGGAGTGGTTACAGTTCCACTTGAGTCTGCAGTGCAGAGACGGATCTCCACTGTAACGAGGCAGGCAGACAAGAGGTCAGAAGAAGAAAGGAATTCTCACTGATTGTGGACGATGGGGCTCTTACACAGAAAACCCCCATATATTTGCTGGAATTAGACTGCTAAGTAAATTTAACAAAGCAATTGGATACAGGCTTGGGGAAATAACTGTTTACACCTAAAATGTTAAATGATCTTGTTTATATTCTGGTCTCTTAATATGACATAAATCTTTTGCCTTTTATGATGACCTAATGCCCGCCAAACCACAGGTCTTAGGAATAAATTTAAACAAATATGCGTGCAACTCCTGAAAGAGACCTAGGAATCCTTCCAGAAAGAGTCAGGTACCGCCACAGAATAGTGTGCACCGTGGATGGGGGCAGATGCAAAGATGTACTGTTGCAAACAGTCTCAGTGGAAATTGACAATTTGATTCTAAAATTTATGTAGAAACACAAAAGGTCAAGAATAATAAAAACGGTCTTGAACAAAAATGCGAAAATTTTCACTACTAGCTATCAAGGTCTACCATAAAGTTACAGAAGACAGTGTGCAATGGAATAAAGAAAGAGCAGCATTAGGGTGAGAAGTGTGGATTCAAGACAGGAACATAAAGACATGCCTGTAAACTACCTGATTTATGAACAGGATTACTGAAATTCTCTTTTAAATAAATGGTACTGGATCAACTAGTATTCATATTGGCAAAATCTGAAAATTAACCTCTCTATCACACTTTGCAAAGAATTGACACCCAAACGCCTACATCCATAAAGAAAAGTAATGTAAGATCAACATAGTAATGTGGAGATTTATCTTGATAACCCTGAGAGAAGCAGACAATCCCAACTCATACTCAAACAACTTAAGCTAGAAAAGAACAGATTTGCTGAGTTGGACATCATTTAAAAAATAGAAAATTCTACAATTTGTTAAGAAAACATGGGTGTGGTAGTGTGGATTGGAACAGAAGTGCTGTTCTGAATGTCTTAGATCATGACTCTGATACCCAGAACAAGACAGGCAGGGGAGGAGAAAGCGTAGCAGGAGATAATGATATTACAATGGAAATGAGGGGCTGGAGAGATGACTGAGCAGTTAAGAGCATGTGCTTCTGTACAGAACTGGAGTTCAGTCCCAGAACCTACATCTGGCAGCTCATAACTTACGGCAACTCCAGCTCCGGGGATCTGATATTCTCCCTCTGACTTCTGTGGGCACTTGTGGAATGCATTACACACACACACACACACACACACACACACATGATAAATATAACTCTTAAAAATAGTCAAAGTTTTTTTTTAAGCAGACAAAGAAACTAAAACATACATACTCACAAAAAGCATGCATGCAAAGGACGGACACATACATGCAGACACATGCATACACATGCATACAAAGATATCAGAATTAAGCGTGAGAGGAACCAGAACAAACATCTAGGACAGCACCATTGAAATTACTTTGTTCATTTCCCCCATTTCAGTTTGCACAGAGGGACAGAGTTCTGCTGAGCACACAGAAGACAGATGTGTGAGCGAACGGGATGTGCTCCATCATACAGAAGATAGATGTGCAAGCGAGTGGAAGGCTCCCTCCTGATGTCATGCATACCCACTGAATCATATGTGCAAAGTGCTTCTCATGTCACATGTGCCTACTGAATTATGTGTGCAAAGTGGCACTTCCTTTGTGAAAAACAAATGCATCACAGAGCCTCTTTACTGGTATGTCTCTGGAAGCCCCATGTTTGTGAAACCGAGACGTGGAGTCATTAGAGGTAAGGACGGACCTTGCTGGGATCAGTCCTTGCTCTGCTACTGGTTGGAAACCTGGTGCTGGGAAAGTAGCTTATCCTCTGAGTCCCAGCTTCCCCTGCAGGATAATGGTTTAATGATGCTTTATGTAAAGTAGGTTTAGGAATGAAAAACATGAGATAATAAATGTTAAAATATCCCAGAGTTCTCTATGTATTGATAGGGAGAGTGATATATCCTTGGAGCTGCATTCAATGTCTACATTGTTATATGTAAATCACACACCACTTAACGTCACTATTGCCCCTTTTTCTATTTATTAAGAAGAATTAATGCATGCGCCTAAAAGATTATAAATTTGCACAGATACTTTTGTGACACCCTACACATCAGACACAGATTAACTAAAATGTATACAGTGCCTCTTATATATTATTAATTAGAGAGAAGATGAAAAGCAATTACTTGGGGGAACAGAATGAGACAGTCAATACTATCAATCAATGCAGAAGCTTTGTATATTCCACAAAGAACTGAGAATTCTCACTGTTGTTAAATTTTAAGACTTCTTTTTGATATAAATCCTCTCTTGGGTAGATCACAGCAGAGTAAGCCTGGACTCTCAAGACTGTGGGACGATGAAGAAGAAACAATTCCCCTAATTATTTCAAGCTCACTCTAGGTCTGAACTTTCTCCCCTAAGGCTGGCCTCCGATGCCTTTCATGTCTAGTGTCTGCCTAGAGTGCTCCTGCTCACAATAGAGCCTGGAAAACTGGCGCTCACGTTTCAACACTGCACACTCATTCCATCAGAGCTTCCTGGCTTAGTTAGGGTTTCTATTGCTGTGAGAAAACACCATGACCGAAAGCAACCTGGAAGGAAAAGGTTTATTTCACTTACACCTTCAGGAAAAGGTCCATCACTGAGGGAAATCAGGACAGTAATTCAAGCGCAAGGTGGGGACCTGGCAACAGGAACCGCAGCAGAGGCCATGGAGGGAGGATGCTTACTGGCTTGCTCCTCATGGCTTGCTCAGCCTGTTTCCTTATACCGTCTAGAACTACCTGCCCAGGGTTGAAACCATTTACATTGAACTGGGTCCTCCCTCATCAATCATTAATTAAGAAAATGTCCCCACAGCCTTACCTACAGGCCAATCTTACAAAGGCATTTTCTCAATGGTTCCCTTGACTCAGACAACTCTACCTTGTGTTATAACAATGACAAAAACAGCAAAACAAACAAACAAACAAACAAACACTACCAAGGGCCCTCCTAACATGCATGCAGATCCTTGCTGAGCACCGGAGATGAACTCTTCCTCAAGCGTGTATCATGTAAACCAACATCCTGAGAAAAATGGCCTCCCTTATGTCTTCCCTCCTTCTCATGGCTCTGGTACGCACACTCTATTAGAGAATAACCTTCCTAGCCGGTTATGGCTCCCTAAGAGAAAGGCTGACATCTACTTGCCTTTCCTCATGCTACAAGGAGGACTGCCACACCATGGCACTCAATAAATGTTTGCTAGATGACATTAACTATCCACGGGGCCTTAATACAGTCTGCTCTGTTCAGTGAGACTCCTCATGAATTCTTTAGAAATGAAAACAGCTGCATCTAGTTCGGCTCCCTCCTTTGGAGACATTCTTTGCTCCTTATCCCCTATTGTATGAGTGCTTTCTCAACAGCCTCAGGGGTTGCGTGTGCACTGCTGGCCATGGCGCTGGTGAACCTGAAGCATGCAGGAAGGGAGATGAAATGACACCTGCCGCCGTTTCAGTTTAAAAATCTGAGACTCTTCTGGGGGAGAACAAATCACAGCAGGCACACACATATGCATATATGTACAAATATATGACTTAAATCTGAATTAAGTATACCAGGGGATCTGATACATTTTTATAATAGTTGACAACTTATACCCAGAATGGAAACTCACTAGGAAATATTCACGGCTTGACCACATAGCATAGTAATTTAGTCCAGCCTACAAATAGGAATCACTCTGGCTACTAAGAAACACAGCACAGTGCCAACAGTCTCCTCAAGATCATAAAGCATGCCGAATTACTTTTGAAAAAAAATCCCATTATTTGTGCCGAAGTGGGGGAGGCAGCTGTTCTTCCAGCAGCGCTAGGCACGTTCTGATGACCGGCTCAAGGAACATAAATGTCAAGGAGACTTTGGAGATAAGAGCATAAAATCCATATCCGTCTGCTTTTTTTGAGATAAATAACAGTCTGGCTTTAATGATCTTGCAAAAAGAAGTCCATAGGAAGGACCAAGGAGTGGAATCAGAAAGAGCAGGTGGGAGCAGAGACAGGGGAGGAACAGGAAAAGAGGGGAACAGGGAAAGAGGCGGAACAAGGAAAGAGGAAGAACAGAAAAAGAGGGGAAAAGGGAAAGATGGGGAATAGGATAAGAGGGAACAGAGAAGAGAGGGAAACATGGAAAGAGGGGGAACAGGGATGGGGACAGAAAGAGTAAGGGCAGGAAAAGCATGGGAACAGGTTTCCAGCAGGGACGGGGACAGAGTGGGAACAGTACCTACTTGGTCTGATGTTTTGATCCCTGCAGGTGGGCATGGTACTGTTCTATGGAGTTGAGCGACACACTGCAGATGGTACATCGGTAAGTGCGCCTCAGACCTGTGAGTGACAGACAGACGCGGTTAGCTGCATCCCTGCCATCAGCCCTGATGACGAATGAATCATATCATTCATGAAGGCACGTTCTGAGTTTCAGAAAAGACACTGGGTCCCCTGTACCAAGGCCACTCCTGTCCTTTCCTCTAGAGCCCAGCCAGCGGAAGTGAGACTGTGCAGGTGTGTAGAAGCTGTCTGTCCTGTTTACAGATGGCTGAAGGGTAAAAACAAATGACTTTGAACTCAAGACAAACATTTCGGGAATTTTCTAACTCAAGTCAAGAAGCATGCTACATTTTTTCTAAGTCATGATTAGACATGATTAGACATGACCTAGACATGATTTTATCTCTACAGAGAAATTTAAAAAAAGCAAAAAAACTCACACTATTCCTTTGCCATCTCCCTTCCCAATCAGAACTGAAGTGTAACATTAGATGTCATTAACCTAGGCTTGATATTAAGTTTGTCTTATAAAATGCAAGTAACCAATAGAAATAAAACGAACCAATCCATTCTTGGGGTCTGACTTCCCATCAGAGTTAAGACCATCCATGTATTCTGTTTATTCATTTGCCTCATTAATACAGCATCAGCTTTGGGTTAGGCACCACTGGGAATCACAAAATAGAATAGATGCTCTTTGTTTTCAAGGAATTTAGGAAAATCTTGAGTATTTCAGAACACTGATTTATCCGAAGGAAAATTCGTGTTACCAAACAGCATTATCTACATCACATTAAACTCCCATGTGGTGGAGATCCATGACTGCACAAATTCGTCTTACTGCTGTAGCCCTAAGAGAGGGAGGAAAAGCGAAGCTAATGCCGAGTCCTGTGAGACAGCAGTGCACACTACCCAGTCTGAGACCCTTGCAAGGAAAGATAGGTCTATGCCAACTTGTACGGTCTCTGGGACGTAGGGTATCATTCCCCATTGCTTCTGAAGCTTCCACTCAGCATCCTCACCCTTGGAGGAACCAGGGAAAACATAGCAAGGAAAAGGAAGAATAGGCAGAGTCCCAGAGGACAACCCAAATCTCCAGGAAGGAGAAGAATGAACTCTTCCAGATATGTCTCCGTGGTAAGCAATGGGAACATCTGTTCTGCCCTAGATACGTTAGTGGAAATTTCCCACGTCTGTGGACGAGCATAGGAAATCTTGACACTGCAGATTCAGGCCCTGAAAGAATGAGCCCCACAGAGGCCATCTGAACGGGAAGTGTGGGAAAAGCAGAGTCACCGCTGGAGTCTGACTTCAGCTGCTAGGAGTTCCACTGATGGCGTGGGAGAGCATTGTTGGACCTCTTCTGAACATCTGTGATGTGGGCAGAACCAAAACTCAAAGAGCAAAGTCTTAGAGTGTGGGTCTGACCTCAGGCAGCCACCCAGGAAAAACTTCTGGGGTAGGCATCCTTGATCTTACTGGTGTTGCCCTTCAATACAGTTCTTCGCATTGCGGTGACCCCATTAAATTAGGTCATTGCTACGTCACAATTGTAATTTTGCTACTATAATGAATCATAACATAAATACCTGATAGGCAGGATATCTGACATGTGACCCTATGCAAAGGTTGTTTGATCTGCCAAAAGGGGTTGTGACCCACAGGCTGAAAACCACTGTTCTATAGGTTCTGATCAGTAAGCTACACACAGAGTCAGAAGGTGTTTCAAACCAGAACCCCATCCTAACCTATACTCCAAAAACATGGTGGTGCACCTTTAATCCCAGCACTTGGGTGGCAAAGACAGATGGATCACTGTGAGTTCAAGGCTAGCCTGGTCTTCAGAGAGAGTTCAGGACAGCCAGGGCAACAAAGAGAATCACTGTCTTAAACCACCCCCGACTATGCGATAAAAAAAAAACAAAACCAAAAACAGACAAACCACAACTTCCCCATCGGATCATACTTCCCACATTCTTTGAAGCTAAGGTGGGTCTGAGGAATGAAAACCAAGTCATTCCTTTAAAAAGAGCTGAGCTTGCATGGCCTTTCCACTTCAGAAGGATTATCCTGTTCCCCAAACCCAGAGGCTATAAGTTATCACAGCCAGTATAGAAGTTGTCAGGATGCTTATCCAGGCCTGGTCCATGCTGCTCTTTTATGCATAGAATCAAAATATGAAATTCGGCTTCAGGCAGTAACTCCCTCCGGAGGTCTCCATCAATCTTTTCATAATAAACAGTAACTGCCGTGTGTGAGTTCTCCTTAGAGTTCACACTAATCAAAGGGCTCCTCGTAAAAAATGGAGGTTCGGTTTGGCAATAGGCATAAATATTTATGTTTAAAACTGGGAACTTTTAAGAACATCAACAAATCTAAAGAATATTCTGATCTGCTGCTCTCTGGAAGTTTTCTCGGGCTACGCAGCCAAACCGAGCCATGGCTGCAATGCTAGCTGCAGGGGCGATGAACTGAAAAGCCGTGGCCATAAATAAGAAAGAGGTAGAGAGAGCCTTCCCCACAAAAGACACGCATTCTCGGTGGGAACTTGGGGATTTATTAATACTTAGCTGAAACCCTAACTACTTTGGAATTATATGGCTCTTTTTCCTCAGGGAACTAGAAAATCTAATTATTGAATCAAAAATGTCAACTTCCTTATGGAATCCATTTCAGCACAATAACACATTAATGGCCTTCTAAAGCCCCCAAGTCTAGTAGGACGGTGTGGGAACAAGACAGAGTTTCTGACTTGGGTGATCCGGAAGGATTTTCTTGAAGACAACACATCGCTGTGTATTTATACTTCCCAGCACAGTGTTTATAAAAACAGATGGGTCTGGAGAATTTAGCAGAATGTGACGCCGCAATGTGTCTTTTCAAGTCTAGCGAAACTGCAGTCCACATGGCTTCAGGCGAATTCACTGCACATTAGAGAAACGGTACTGAGCCTGTATTTTGGTGCCAGGTGTTTTGCTGAATGCCCAGGTGTTGGAAATGATGAGACATCGTATGTTTTCTTATGGAGCTATCTGGGGAGAAAGGCAAACAATGAGTTAAGGCTCCTGAGGTCTGGGTACAGAGAAGATCCTTCTAGTCCTCATGAGGGAAGCTACTTTTGCACTGGACAACAGCAAACAGATAGTCACACATGGTCCAAGTACTGACGGCGTGTTCCATCCTAAATATGACTCACCTGCCTCTTTCCAAGGCTTAGGGAAAGTCATGGAGCGAGGAGCAGAGAAAGCACGCATGTGTCAGCGGTTGGGTAGGACATCTAAGAAAGAGCATCATCGGGACGTGGTAGCGGTAGCACACCTGAACTCAGAGTAGCTGTGCGTACCTGAGTACGACCTCAACAGCATGCAGCATGGATGGCCGGGGAGCACTCAAGGCTCCACCCGTAGATGAGGAGCTATTGGCAGTTAATGTCTGCTGGGGAAGGAAGAATCAGTTTTGTTTGGGGATAGGGGCCCCAGCAGATTGGCCTTGGTCCGGTGTATGGCCCCACACTCATGCCTACGTGGGCATCACTAATTGGATTCAGTGGGCTCTGTGGGAAACCTGATTCTAAACAAAAACAGAGGAGGACGACCTGTCTGCAAAGTGCTGCTGGGTAAGGAACGTCTGGTCTAAGGAGGGGAGCGGCATGTGGAGGGCAGAGGAGGAAATGAGCCTGCATGAAAGGCAGTCAGAAATAGAAAATAAAGGATGGGCTAGAAAAAGTAAAATATCCTTGTCAATCGAGAACTCAACATTCATTAGTATACCATTTGAGAGGAAGGGCTTCAAAGCAAACATCTGTCCATAAACAAAACCTAGTCAAACAGTATGCCTGCAAAGTTGAGCTACTATTGCTGCATGAAGCTCTTAAGGTGAAGGAACGCAATGCAACAAAACAAAACAAAACAAAACAACAACAACAACAACAACATGGACACCAGAAAAGATGAATGTGGTGCCAGTCAGGTTGACACCAGGCTTGACTGCCACCATTTGAGGCCTCACATGGGGAAAGAGGAGAACAAGGTTTTGAATATTGTCTTCTGATTCCACATGTGCACTGTGATATGCATGGAGGCATATACACATACACACACATAAATTTCAAGATGCAAAAAAATAAAATAAAATAATGAATCTGTGGGACTCCATCTTTTAAAATTGCTCTTAATTTACCTGAAGGCCACCAACAACCTAGATACTGTATTTTAGTGTTCACAATGTGCATCGAGTTCAAACAAAGAATGAACAGGAGTAGAAAAACACTACTGAAGGATCATTTTCTTTATACAGAGCAGTGCAGTTTTAACTCTATGGTGACAATGGAAATTTAAGGAAGGGATGACCCGCATGTTTTCTTACAGCAACTACGAAACAAATATGAAGAAATATAGGCAGGGAACATAATCAGAACGGTGAGTGTTTCTATTAGCCCAAAGTGAGGAGGGATAAGGGTTAGAAAACAGAAAACATGGAACTGTGAGAAATGGACCCTCAGCCAATACAGTGTTTGCTCACCCAGCACGAGGACCTGGACTTGGTTCCCCAGCACCAATGTTCATATCTGGGTGCAGCACCAGGTGATAATGGCCTCAGAACTATGGAAGTTGAGGTAGGGGGACTCCTGGAGACTTCTGGCTACCAAATACGTGAGCTCCAGTTCAGATAGAGACAAGACACACAGAAGCACATAACCCCCCCTCACACACACTACACTACACACACACCACTAAACACACACATACATATACATATATACGCTACACACATACCCCATGCACATATAGCACACACATATATACTGCATACATATCTCCCAAACACCCCCCAGGATATAGATGGAAAATAAAAATAGAAAACAAATGGAACAAATAGAAAAACAAAAAACAAAGTGATATAACTCAATTCAATCACATTAATAATAAAATTAAATGATTAAAATAAAATAATTAAAATTAAATTAATATCTACATTAAATATAGATAGGTTAAAAAAAATCTCAAAATGTTGAAATTGACAGAGCAGATAAAAACCAAGACTCAAATACATAAAAT